CCCAAGTCTAAGGTGCTTTATGATATCATCTTGGGCTGTCAGAAGCATGTCCAAATGGAGTTATAGGCCATTCAGCAGGGCAGGTTCTTTGATTTCTGAGGAACTGTGTCTCCCAGGAGACACCTACCTACCTCTGTTGCCACTGAGTAGGGGAAGTCAGGCCATGCAGAGGTCACCACTGCAGACCAGACTGCTAGAAGCCTTGTTTTCTCTCCCACACTGGTCATTTGCAGCTCAGTAGCAACCCCCTTGGCCTAGACTGTACCACTCAAAAGCAGTAGGGCCACAGCAACATCCCTATTGGCCACTAGATGACACCACAGGCCAAGCTGCCTTTTTCTGAGTGATCAGGACCAACAAGTTTTCGGCTGGTGGGGACAAATTTCCACAAGCCCAAGGTCCTGCCAGAGTGGGTACCATAAACAGATGAGTCACAAACACACTAAATGCCTACTATGCCCTAGTCTCTGGACTTAGAAGGTGACAAGCCCTATCCTCCTCCGAGAAGCTCCTACTGAGAAAACACAAAAGCTCGTCTATTCATACATGCATGCATGTATCTATGCACAGGTGTACTTGAGTACCCATGATTCTTTGCCCAGGCTCAAGCACCATCTCTAATTTTCAGTATTAAGACGTTGTTCTAGTTCATTTGGTAGGGCAGGGGTTAAATCTCAAGTTATGTGACACTAGCCAGTCCTTCTCAGACAGCTCACATGAGAAAGGCTTACCTGGTTGTTTAGGGATGAGCCAAGGCCAACAGAACCACAGAAGCAGGAGAGCGTGTCTATGGGGTAATGTTCTTCAGCACAGTCAGACAGGCATGCTGGGGGAAGGAGCTACAAGGAAAAGTGGCATGTCCCAAGCACAGAGCACTGCAGACACAAGACTCAGCTTTTGTCGATGGCACACGTGGCACAGCCAGAGGCAGGAAAGTGCAGCGGGGCCATAGCTGGGTACGTCACGGGAGATGGATGGCAAACCACCAAGAGTCTTCTATGTTTAGTTCACAGCCATTTTCAAAGGCTACAGAAGCCACCAAAGGTTCTTAGAGCAAGGGAACTTTTAAGGTTGAGTTCAAATGGCTGTTTTTTTCCAGAAGGGATGTATATTTATACTTCAGAAGATTATACAACCCAGTGCTGCCTTTGAAAAGGAAAAAAAAAATTCTTCAAAACATATGGATGCTAAGTCTGCCCTTATAATTGTATTCTGTGCCACATGGTACCCCTAAGTTTTAGAATCTGAGCACAGAACTGGCTCAGGACATCCAAACTTGCTAAGAGACACCTTCATCTGTCACTTTCGTTTCTTTTCTATTATAACCAATGCTCAGTTTATCAGCCTGATGGAAGCAGCAGCAGGGCCAGATGACAATGTATAATGTTCTTACACACTAGGGTGTGATAAACACACAGAGAAACAACTGCACTGTCCACAAAGCTCTCAGCTAGACTCCACAGTGAAGCAGTGATACCAGCTTCAGTTGTGCACATACAAAGAACACAAGCTACACATGAAAAGCAGCTGCTATACCAAGCTACTACACCAAGCCAGGGTCCTGCATCATTTTTAAAACAAACAAACAAACAAAAAAACCCCACAGCCACAGGTTTTCAGAAACTAGCCTTTACTTCCATAGCAGGTTTCTGAATACATTTGCTGTCAACTTTTGCAAGCATTTTCCCAAAAGAGCCTCTGACCTGATAAAGATTGCTCAGACATTAAGTCTATGTTTCCCCTAAGCCAAATGAACAGCTGGATATGAGCTTATCAATGCATTGTTTCCAAGTACCCCGATGTTACAGGCAGATAGGACATCTAGATCCTGGTGGAAATGTTGTGTCTTTGTTAGATAAGTGTCTGTAACAGGATGCAACCTCAACAAGAGGTTAAAATGTACATGTGGTAACCGAAGAGTTTAGGGAATTTAGATGGCATGTTCAGCATCCCAGGGCTCACAAGAGGCTGTGTGGGGCTTAAAGCCTGATGGAGTATCTATTCACTGTCCACTCTATCAGTTGTCGCAAATGTGACTTATGGAGAAGATTCTGGAAACAGTAGCCAGTCCTGAAACTCACATCCATGTCAGTTTATGTAAAGAAAAAGAAGTGGGTTAGAAAGACATTAAGTGGCTTGCCTTGCACTAGATACAAAGTCAATCTGATTAACTTGGCCTCATAGCAGAGCCCTCCATCCATGCTTTCACGGACAGAGGCAGGCTTAGCAAGTGTTCTAGAATGTTTCCAGCAGAGAGAGCATTAAGTATTGCCTAGACTGCCTCTTCTGGCTTGGAAATTCCTACACTAGAAAGCATACTGAAAGAAAGAGCAGAGTTCTTGGGTTTCAGTCACAGTGGTGTGCTTACACTTCCTCATCATCTACACTAGCTGGAAGCCCTATCTCATGCAGAAAGCACACACTCTGCAAAGCAGGAAGGCAATGCAAACATTCACACTTTTCAGGGAAAACCAGGGCTTTTCCCAGGGACATCACTAAGCTTTGCCCTGGAGCGTGTGCATGTCTCCACCTTGTGGTCACTAGTAACACTACATTAAACTCAATCCACTACCCAGCAATAGCAACAAAGTAGCTTTTTATCACAGGATACAGAATCTCAGGGACCAGCACAGGGGCTTGTATATCAAGAAGAGGATGAATAACTGCCAACTCTAGGTCAGCTGTGTGGGCAGCCCAAATCTCCTAAACAATAGTAAAAGATTAAATTGTGCACACTTCAGTTTTATTACTGTACACATTACTGTTTTCAGTGTTTATGGAAACCTAGAAACAATGATGCTGACTTGGCCAGACTGTGCCATATCGTTTATCAGGGCACTGGCATTCTCAGCCATCTGGATGGGAGAAATTTGTGAAGACTGTTAAGAATTTAGTAGCTCTTGTTTTTGAAGGTTTTACCACCTAAAATGATACTAACTTCAGCACAAAATCTAAACACCTCTATGACTACGCTTTAAAAATTTTTATGAAATGTTTTTAAGTGTCTTTTATTGTGCATCTTTCTCTCCCTCTCCATCCCTCCCTCTCTCTCTCTCTCTCTGTCCTGGCTCTATCTTTCTCTGAGACATGATCTCTTACTGAGCCTGGAGCTAGGGTAGCAGATAGCAAGCTTCTGTGACCCTCTTTCCTTCTGCTCCCCCACAGTGCCAAGTTAAGTTTCATAAAGCCATGCCTAGCTTTTTATGTGGATGCTGGGATTTGAACTCAGGTCTTCAAGCAATTACCCTAACACTTCCCCAGCTCTATGCTTATGCCAATTTGTAGTTGGGGGTGCAGAGATGGCTCAGTGGTTAAAGACACTGGCTGCTCTCATAGAGGACTTGAGTTTGATTCCCTGCACTCTTTGTGGGTAGCTCACAATGATAAACAACTGAGGGGTTCAATGTTCTCCTCTGACCTTTGCAGGTACCAAGCACACACATGGTGCACAGATGTATATGCAGGCAAAATGCTCACACAAAACGACAATAATAAAAAGAATATTAAGAGTACTATCTCAGCACAGCAAAAAGGTGCTGGCAAGCAGTGTAGCTCAGTGGATATGGTCAACTGCTGTGGAGCTGAATTCCCTGGCCCCTTTTTAATTTTTTTAATAATATATTTTAATTATGTGCCTGAGTAGTGGGTATGTGTAAGCAAGTGAAAGTACCCACAGAGGCTGATGTGTAGGATCCATTGGAGCTGGAGGTACAGCTGTTTTGTAAGATACCTGACATGGATGCTGGGAACTGAAGTTGGGGCCATGGAAAAACAGAGCATGATCTATCTTAACCAGTGAGCCATCTCTCCAGACCTGGGCTCTGCCTCTTAACTGGTATATAACCACTTGTAAGCTATCTCACCATTCCATTCCAGTTTTCTTGTCTAACAGCCAAGGACTGTGACATCATTTACTCTTAAGGATTCTGTAAGGATGGAGCAAGGTAATGGATACAAGGACCAACTCAGTACTAACGGGGGCTCCAGCCATTACTAACATTACAGAGACATCACCGGTTCTCCATCCCATGTCTATGAAGCATGACTATGGTTGCTAGCCCTGACTTTTCTTATCTGTAATTTTCATTGTTAGAACACTAAGGGTGGAAATGGTCTCAGAAAACTTCAGAGCAAGTCATGCGAATGGAGGAAGTCTCAGGCCAGCAAGATAAAGACATGTAACATTTACAAAATACCTGAAAGTGAGGATAAAATTAAGCTCCCCCACTCCCACTACCCCTCAGACACCAGGGACACACTCCGCTGCTTATGAAAGGCCCTCAGACATCATGTGGCGAGTCTTCAACTCACAGAGAACAACAAAGAAAGAGGCAGCTTTGCTTTTGCTAGCCACCCACCCATATGTTCACCCATTCAGAAGTATCCATGAGCTCTGAGGCACACTGTAGTAGGGTAGGAAGGGGAAGGGAGACAATAATATATCCACTCATGCTCAGGACCACTTTAAAAGCTTTGAAAAGGGCCTACCATGGGGTACAGATGTGGTGAGGCTGCAGGACGAGATACCTTTCAAATGGAATGGCCAGTGGGAGGAAGCACAGCAGACAGGAAGGGGCTAGAATGCAAGCCCAGAAACAGTGCAAAGGCAGTGGGGCTGGAAGGAGGTAGGGGAAATGAAGGATGGAGGGAGGGAGGTAGGTACAGCAGAGAAGAGCAATGAGGGAGCATGATGGGAGATGCATGAGTTCTGATAGGAAGGGAACAGACAAGTCCATATGCCCAGAGAGGCTAAGTCACCAGCCAGGTAGTTATCCAGGGCAAGGCTGGTATAAGGGGCACAAGCAGCAGATACATCTATATAGTGAAAATGTGTGGGTTCCCAGCTGAGTCTGTCTACCTGGCTCCTTTAAATGGCAGCACAGGAGTGTCCCTACCACACCATGGAGTCTCTGGCAGCCATAGATGAGGCTCTAAAGACGTCTTAGTAGAGGCAAGCAAAGAGATGCAAGACGGCCAGGCTTTCCCATCTATTTACTTACCCGCTCGTGATGTCATCAGTCCGGATGTTCTTGCTCAGGACATCTCCGTCACTCATGTAGCCAGGGGCATCCATGCTGATGCCTTCGAGGTCCACATCATCACCTGCCTTGTCTGAGACATCCACGTGGCAGATGCTGCTGCCCCTGGAGGCCAATTGCCTTCTCAGAGGGGCAGAGTACACATAACGGCCTGCCTCTGCACTGATGAAGCGGCTGGCATTGGCTCGAGGTGGGTACCCATTGCCCATTGAGGGGGCATCACCTGCTTGCAGCCGAGGGCTGGACTGGCCGAGTCTCCAGGACAGAGGAGTGGGCCTTCCTGTCAGGCTGAGGATGCTGCGGCCACTTATCTCTGTGGTGACATTGGTGTCAAACGTAGTTTCTAATGTACTGAAAAGATAAAACCAACCTGGGTTAGACCCCAATGTGCTTTGCAGGTTAGATGGTTTTTAAATGTACAGAATTGCAAAAACAACAACCATAAAAATCCTTCTCATTTACAAAGCAGGGTAAAACAGCAGGCACCAAATACCACCTGGTAAACACCACCTGGTGTAGTGCCTTTATTAAGAAGGAAAAAGAAAAAGCTATCTACATTCTGAAGAGCCTATTGGGGACTTTTAAAATGTGGTGTGAGATCCTCTTCACGGCCCTTTAATTAAACACAGACTGCAAAGCTTCATTCTGCTAGAAGACTGGGATCTCCTTTCCAGTTCAGGAAAGGAAACAGAACATGCTGAACTTGTGAACAAGGGACATAGGACCCTGTGGTACATTTGTTACAGAGCGCTGTGTCATGCTTTCTTAAGGGTTGGCTCCAGAAGCACTCTTACACCACATTTCACATCCCCTTCCCCCTCCCTACCTAAAACCCTAGAGTCAGTGTCAGTGACTAGGATAGTCAGTACAGAAAGGATAAATTCATGCTTAATCATGAAGTCACAGGACCCAACATCAGGACCCAAGTCTTCAGATACCTAAAGGGTTAGGAAGGCATGTTCTCCAAACTCTCAAGTTCACTTTTCTCTGACCAGCCAGTTGGGTGCCAGTGGCTGTTTTGGTCCCATCCCCTGTCCCCAATCCTGGAATTGACCTGGTTTTTCACATCTTGGACCCTTGAGTTCCACTGAAGTCAGAACCCACAGTGGCCAAGATTCAGCAGTGAGTTTGACTGTTTAGTATTGACTGTCAACTTGACAGAATCTAGAATCACCTAGAAGAAAATCCTCTGGGTGAAGTGAGGTGGGAAGACCCTCCTGAAGGTGGGTAACATCTTTCTATGAGCTGGCATCCCAGACTACATAAAAAGAAAAAAAGCAAGCTGAGTGCCAGCGTCCATCTCTCTCTAGGTGTCATCTCTCTCTGCTTCCTGGCTGTGGAGCAGCTAGCTCCTTCACCTCCTTCACCATGATGAATCATATCCCCTTAAACCAAAAACCAATCCTCTTTCTTCCTTAAGCCACTTTCCTTAGATATTTAGTCACAGCAATGAGGAAAGTAACTGATACAGTGGGGAAGCCTCACATTTCCTCCTTTTATACATTTACCAAAGAAACTGAAACTGAAGAAGCAAGGAGAACCATTGAGAGCTCAGGAGGGTAGCCAGGACTCTTTGATTTTCAAAGCCAAACACAAACTGTAAGACCTCATCCTGCCAAAATCACAGCAGCGCCAGCACTGCGACCTCCTCAACAGTCTTGCAGAACAATGAAAACAACCAGAGATTCTTTCCAACAAAACCATAGCTTGAACAGAGCCAAGTTTCATAAACACTTCCTCTCGTCTTTCATACACGTGCATGACTAAAAACATCAAGCGTAACAGAAGACCTGGTAGGAATTCAAGTTACTCAGTTTGTCACACAGGTCAGACACAGTTCACCTGCTCCTTCCATGGGCTTCACAGTGTTTTGAATAATGCAAGTCAAATAAAGTGTAAGTGCAGCCAGGGGCAATTTCCTCTGGGCAATGAACTCAGAACCCTGCAGGGGTGGTGTTTGCGTAAACTAATGTCCATTCCCTTCACTTCTGTACATTGTCTTGACTTCTTTGTGAATTCTAACACATTGGGGGATGAGGTTATCTATCCGGCTCTCAACCAAACCACTCTGTTGAGGAACTTAGTGTGTGGGAGAGAACCAGAGATAGAACGAGCTCCAATAAGTTCTTTCAGTGAAGCAGTTCACGTTGCCCATACCTGTGTGTAACCTGAGTTCCCCGTAAACTGGACATTGTCTCTTCTAAATTCTGCCGTAGGTCTGCGATGTTCTTTACTGTCCGGAGCCGCCGAGCCTCAGGGTCTTCTGCTGGAGAAGCAAGGGTTAAGATCAGTCTAACTCTACTAGACCATGAGGTTAGTTTGTTTGTTTTCCCAAGTCAGAGTTTCAGGGTTTCTCTGTGTAGCCATGGCTGTCCCGGAACTCACTCAGTAGACCAGGCTGGCCTCAAACTCAAAGATCCACCTCCCTCTGTCTCCCGAGTGCTGGGATTAAAAGCGTGCACCACCCCACCTGGCTACAAGAACTTGAGGTTCTTAAGAACAGCAATCAAGTCGGGGATTGAATTTACCAGCCAAATCCTCAAAGCACATAGGTGTTCGTGTGTGCATGAGTGCTTGCGTGTGTATACTAGTGTGTATGTATGAGACTCTGAACACCAGATCCTTCTGCCTTCCTCCCAAGTGATGGAATAACAGGTATGTGCCACCTGGTTTCTGTATGTGCTGCAGGGGATCTAACCGGGCTTCATGAATGCTAGGCTGAGCTCTATCTCCAGAGCCACAGTGAAGGTCGACCCAACTTCTCCTAAGAGCCTTAGAGTAATGTGACTGCATCATCCCCATAGGCTGTCAATCTCTTTCATTACAAGTTAGCTGTGTTTATTATTACAACTGCTTCAAAGGTACCACAGCTCTGGATCACCCTGGTGTAGTCTCAGATCCCCAAATTACCTCCATTCATTAACTCCATTTTACCATAAAACCCCTTTAAAAAAACAGGTGGGAGTGAGGCTTGGGAAATGTCTCTGCAATAAAAAGCACAGGTTGCTCTTCCAGAGGACACGGGTTATGTTTCTAGCACCTATATGGCAGCTCACAACCACCTCTAACTTCACTTCCAAGAGATCCAGTGTCCTCTTCTGGGCTCCACAGGCACCAGACACACATGTGATGCACAGACACACACGCAGGCAAAACATATACATTAGAAATATATTTTAAAAAAGAATCATAGTTCATATGTAGGCTGGTGGAGGAGCTCATAGGTAGGACACACCCAAAATGAATTCTAACTCTTTTGATTTTCTTTTTTATCTTCATAAAATTACATTGTGGCTGGCGTGGACAGATCAATGTATACAGTGCTTGTTGTATAAGAGTAAAGACCAATGTTCAGACCCTACAAACTCACATAAAAGCCAAATCTATAATCCCAGCACTCGAGAGGCAGGGGCCACCCGGGCAAGCTGGCTAGATAGACTAGCTAGAATTAATTAGTGAGCGCTGAGTTCAGTGGGAGACCCTGTCTCAACAAATGAAATAGAGAAAGATCAAGGGAGCCGCCTGATATCAACTTCAGGCACCCACTTACGTGCCTCTGCACACACCTGTGCCCATATACATGCAAACACACACACTCACCACACATGCACACACACAAAGAATGTAATGGTACAACAGCAACAAATTACCATGAAATTATTCTTATGGCAACTAGATGTTAGGTTTTGTGTGTATTTATGAGGTATGTGTGTAAATGTTTGTGTGCCTATGTGTGGGTATATATGCACTTGTGTGTGCATGTATGTTCATATCAGATGTTGTGTTACGTTTCTTCCTCAATTGCTCTCCACCTTGCTTTTTTTTTAAAAAAAGATTTTATGTAATACAACATTCTGCTTCCATGTATATCTGCACACCAGAAGAGGGCACCCGATCTCATAAAGGATGGTGTGAGCCACCATGTGGTTGCTGGGATTGAACTCAGGACCTCTGCAAGAGCAGCCAGTGCTCTTAACCTCTGAGCCATCTCTCCAGCCACTCCACCTTACTTTTTTGAAGCAGGGTCTCTCACTGAACCTTCAGCTCACTGGTTCAGCTAGACTGCCAGGCCAGCAAGTCCCAGGTATCTGAAAGTCTCCATCTTTCCAGCACTAGGACTATAAGAGTGTGCTGCCATGCCCAGCTTTTAAAATGGGTGCTGGGGATTTGAACTCAGGTCCTCATACTAGTGCAGCAAGCACTGTGTTCACTGAGCCATCTCCCCAGTCCCTGGATGTTATGTTTTTATATACAGCATAATACCTTACAATCATTGTCTTGACTGCAATTAGGTAATTTAGGAATTTTGTTTTGTTTTGTTTTGTTTTTGGTAAAAGATGTAAGTTGCAATCTGTCTATTAATTTAAGTGTATGAACATTTTGCTTGCATGCATATCTGTGTATTACATGCCTTCTGGTGTTCCAGAGTCTGAAGAGGGCATTGGACCCTTGGAACTGAAATTACAGATGGTTGTGAGCCAACAAATGGGTGCTGGGATTTGCATCCAGAGCCTCTGTAAAAGCAGCAAGTGCTCTTGACTGCCACACTACCACTCTACCCCACATGTTGTAAACTTTTCAGTTAATGGAAAGTGATGAAAGGGTATTTTTAATTTGGGCTTCCCTAAAACTAAAAGCAAATCTAATATCTTTGAGTTTGTCTAAATTTTGTCAAAAAGCAACTTCATATGAAGGGAAAACAATATAACTTGAAGTTAAGCCTTAAAGTAGTCCAGGGTCCAAGTATGAGTCATACCCACAAGTAAGAGATTTAGTCACAGTTCTGGGGAAGACTGAAGAGGTTGTGAGAGAGACAAGGCAGGAAACTAGTGACAGAAGAGAGCAATTTTTGCTCAGCTCCTGCATTAGCACAGCAGCCTGACTAGCAGGTGCCCTCATGAGGGGCTTCCCCACACAGCAGCAGCCACACCACCCCGGGCTCATACTCACCAGTGAGTTCCTCCAGAGCAGGCTGTCCACTCTTGGTGTAGTGGCTGGGCTCCATGCTCACACCTGCTGAGCTAGACTCGGCAGTGACATTCCCTTCGGTGTCCGTCTGGGACCTTTACATACAAATCAGAGCAAACACCATTATCAGGAGTGGAAACCATCACATCTGGATTGCCTGCCATGGCCTGATACGCAAGAGGTTGTGGGGCAGATCTGGCCAGCAGACTGACTCTAAATAATTCAACAGCCACATGTGGAGAGAGTGGTGGAACTCAGAAAGATAATATTTTCAAAGCCCAAAAGGAGGGTCTGCCATTTCTCGATGGGTACTGGTTTCCCAAACCAGCCTCTGGGTCCAAACCAGACATGTGCTGAAGGGTGCTGGGTGGTTTGGACATTCAAACTTATGTCAAAAACAATTGGGAAGTAACCACAGCATGAAGATGATGCCACTGACAGCCCCTCTCGCCCACAATCCTGCCATGGCTCTCTCTGTAAAGGTGAGTGTGAAGCAGGTTGGGAGTGGATGCCAAGCAGCTGTGTCGGCCCTCCAGGGTTCTGATTCACAGCTCAGATCCTCTGACATGAAAGGTCTCATTGATCATTATTTCAACACTTGACTGAAATATGTACTTTCCCAACCCTTCTCCCATGCCCTTATTTGTCAAGTAAATTGAACCAATGTTTGGTTTGCATGGGAGGTTTCTGGCCACAACTGCTTCTTCTCAGACCTTAGTTTATTTGCATCTAGGACTGGATTGATCCAGCTACTTTTTCACTACCCTGGAAAAAAATGTGTCTGCCCCCCCCCCCGTTTTTGTTGTCATTGGGGATTAAACCCAAGGCCCTTGTGCATGCATGGCATGTGTTCTAGTATGTTCTAGCATGGGGCAATATCCCCACCCCTAAGAACGCACCAAGTGCAACTGCACTGTGGGAGATAAAATGGTAACTTCAAACCATCGACTGTTCTTTCTTCCTTTTCCCTGCTGCTGAAGCCATCTATTCCCAGTTCCTTATCCACCCTTCCAAAGGTCTATCTTTATCCCAGTGCTCTTGTTTACCCCACAGCATCTACTTAGGATTTATAAACACTCTAGAACAGGTACACTGTCTCTAGCCTAGAGATTATAAATGAAAGGTAGGTAGGTATACTAGCCTACAGATGTACTGCTAAAGATATTTGCATAGTATTTTTTTTAAATTAACTCTCTTTCTCTCTCTCTCCCTCTCTCCCACCTTCTTCCTCCCCCCATCAATGGGGGTCTCTCAGTCTAGTCCTGGTGGTCCTACTCACTATGTAGACCAGGCTGACCTGGAACTCACAGAGATCCACCTACCTCTGCCTCCTGAATGCAGAGATTAAAGGCATGTGCTACCATGCCTGGCAAATCAGCTCATTATTTAAAATTTGTGAAATTTGGGGGCTAGAGAGATAGCTCAGCAGTTGAGAGTACATACTGCTCCTACAGGGGACCCAAGTTCAATTTCCAGCAGCCACAAAGAGTGGCTCATTATTGTCTATAATTCCAGATCCCAGGGGATCTAATGCCTCTGGCCATCACAGGCACCTGTAATCACATGCCTATCTTCCCCCACATAGGCATAATTAAAAATAATAAAAATAACTTTAAAATTTGGGAGATTTCACACAAGAAATCACCTGGATTTCTTCATCCGGTAGAAGGAAGGAAGGAAAAAAAGGATTTGGAGCTCCTGAGCCCAGTTTTGCAGGGTGCCACCTGCTGGGATCTAGCAGTGGCTGTGCCCTCGGGAGGAGCAGGATGCTTGCTTGTGTTGCATCACTACAGCACTGTTCTGAACTCAGGTGCATTCTGCACCGCTCCTGCCATTATCCCACACAATGCCAACAAACCCTGCCTAAGACAGCTGGGCTTAGATTTGACACTATTGTATACTGTGAACTGCAGTCCTTTTACTGTACAGGTAAAGATTTCTGCTTTAAAAATGCTTGTTTAGATTTATTTTACATATATGACATGTATGAATGTTTTACCTCCATGTATGTATATATGTGCACCACATATGTTCAGTGCTCACAGAGGCCAGAAGAAGGTATCAAATCCCCTGGAATTGAAGTTACAGACAGTTGTAAGCCACCATGTGGGTACTGGGGACCAAACCCAGGTTCTCTGTAAGAGTGGCCAATGCTCTTAACAGCTGAGCCATCTCTGCAGTACCCAGAATCCAAGATAACATGGTTCCTGTAGGTAGACAGACTTGTTTTTTGTTTGTTTGTTGGTTGGTTTTTCAAGATAGGTGTTCTCTGTGTAGCCCTGACTGTCCTGGAACTTGCTCTGTAGATCAGGCTGGTCTTGAACTCAGAGATCTGCCCATCTCTGCCTCCCAAGTGCTCTGCTACTTCACCCAGTGGCAGACTTGGTTTTAAACACAGATTCTTTTAATTACCAGTTCTGTGACTTGGAACAAATTTCCTAGTCTAAGCCTCAGTTGCCCATGTGTAGAATTGGGATTTTTTTTTTTTTTTTTTTTTTTTTTTTTTTTTTTTTTTGGTTTTTTGAGACAGGGTTTTTCTCTGTAGCTTTGGAGCCTATCCTTGCACTCGCTCTAGAGACCAGGCTGGCTGGCCTCAAACTCACAGAGATCCTCCTGCCTCTGCCTCCCGAGTGCTAGGAATAAAGGTGAGCACCACCAACGCCCGGCCTAGAATTGGGATTTTAAAAGCAAGCTAGTTCACAAAACTCAGAAAGACTCAGAGGACTAGGAAGCAGAAAACCTTTAGCTGGGTCTTTGCACACACGTAGTTCATAAGCAATCACTAGCTCTCCCTGTGGCCAGTGCCTAAGACCACAGGGGCTAATATAGGGCAGGGTGCAGGTCCAGTTCCTTTCTGGGACTCTTCTTCTCAGCCCTACACTGGGTCCTCCAAGGAGGACTTCGGTATCTGGGAGGTTCCCTTTTTTTTTGTGCCTCACACATTAGTCACAAGGAATCTTTCTTCCCATAGAAAAGCTTGAAATAATAATAATTAAGAAGGTGAATGTTTGCTTTATAGTCTGCCAAAGAACTCAGTCAAAATAAAGACAAGAGTTGCACTGACGGTGATGAAACACTCACACGTTTTGTAATTTGGCTAGTCAAGAAGTTGTCAAGTAGCCTTGACACTGTGAATGCTGCTGGGATGCTAACAGTCTCACGGGGAGCTGTTCAGTCTCCTCCACACTTCAGAGAACAATTCATGAAAATTGTGCACGCAGCCTCACCAGAACTCTACTCAGCACCACTAGCTGAGCTAATGACTCAACTGAATAAAACACAACTGTCTGCCAATCAAAAGAGATTTTGAGGACTCTCACTGAAGGGGGGAGTGGGCCGAGGAGAGTGAACATGGGGACAGTAGGGAGCCTGGCATCGTCCCCTTACCACAGGGATGCTGGCTAGCTTTCTCCTGACAGCTCTAGTGGCTGGAAGCCTGATAGTTCACAGGCAGGGAGAGAGGGAACATCTGATTCTATAAGAAGCTGAAGGTGTGGGTATGAATGCATACTCCTGGGCTTCTGCAAACACACCTGTGTGAACACACATTTGCATTTGGAGCATGAATGTGAAATTGTGTCTCACTTGTGTGCAACTGTCGACTAGCAAGTACTGAATGTGTGTGCATACTTGTGCTTCTGTACTTTAGGAGAGAGCTGCAAAGGAAGGGAATAGAATGCGGCGTGAGAGCCGGGCATTGGTGGCGCATGCCTTTAATCCTAGCACTCGGGAGGCAGAGGCAGGTGGATCTCTGTGAGTTCGAGGCCAGCCTGGTGTCCAGAGTGAGTGCCAGGATAGGCTTCAAAGCTACACAGAGAAACCCTGTCTCAAAAAAAAAAATATGTGACGTGATCACCTTGGTATACGCACACAGAGTTAGGGGCCTAGCTGTCAAGTGTGGTCTAGTACACTATCCCTACCCAGCACAGACCAGGGCAAGCTCTGTGAGCCAAGTTCTTAGCTCCCTTCTCAGTAGTACAGGGATGTCCATAAGCCTGAAGAGCTAGCCACATGCCTAGAGTATGGGTGTGTGGTATGGGCAGAGCAGAATAGCTCTTGGGACAGAACAGAACAGCAAGGAACATACTACCTGGCTCCTTACAGATGTCCCAACAGAGATACAGGAAAAGGTCAGCAGATTTATCCTAACCCCTTGTTCTAGAATGGCCCCTGTCAATATCATTTCTTCCTCCTTCATCTCCTCTTAGAAGGCCTCAGCAGATAATAGGGACTGTGAGACTTAGTAAGTTCAAGGCCAATTCTGCCATAAGAAATCTTACTTACATAGCAGAGTGGTCTTAAGTCCACTTAGTATAGGTTACAGTTCATTTTGGGTGACATCAAACCAGCCACCCTGCATATTCAGGCCTACATGCTTCAAGTGCTTCTGAAATGCCCTGGTCCCCACAGGCCTGGTGAAGCCTCCTCATCCTGGGGTCAGCTCATGGTGTCCCCCATCTCGGCACTGTCTTGCTATAGTGGTTGCCCACTTGAGAGCACCAGGATGGAACTAATGTTTTACTTTGGCTGTCAGCTCACATGTTCCTGGACCCTGTACCGGAAGAGCCAGCAGACAGGGTCTTTACCTGGGGTAGAGGGAGAGCAGGTGCTGCCTACCTGTACAGGAAAGGTGCAACCGTGGCTGTGTTGGGGTGGTTGTATTGCTGCTGAGGCTGAGGTAGCTGAACACTGACGGTATTGCTTCCAGTGGTCTGGGTGGTCCCGACGGAGCCGCTGACAGTCTGGCTGCTGATGCTGTGGTTCAGAGTTGTCCCTGTGGGGCCTTTTCCCTCTGAGGATGCCAAGCTGGAGGAGGAGCTGGAGTGTCTGCTGTCCAGCTGGGGCTTCTGGGGTGGAAGCCCTGAGCTCAGCTTCCCTCGGCTCCGCTCTCCTTCCTTGGGAGGTGTGGCGGCACTTGGGGACTTCCCAGGCATGTTCTTCATTCCTGGTTTTGGTATTCCGCTGTGAGATGGAGCCGTGGCCTCCTTCTTGGTGCTGTTGAGCTTCCCACCTTTGGGGATAAAGCTGGCAATCTTGGAGGACTTTTTTGGCATCTCGGTCACAGACACCCCACTGAGCTCTTCCTTGGGGTCTTCCTTGAGGTCAGGCCTGTCAGTCACGGAGACCCTCTTGGTGAGGTCCTTGCCCTTTTCTTTTTCCTTCTCCTTCTCCCGCTGCTGTTTCTCCTTCTCTTTCTCATTGCCCTTTGGGGAGCTCTTCTTGTTGGTAAGTGCCCTGCTGAAAGTTCTCTGTGCGATGCCCTTGAGTGCAATCTTTGGGCTGCTGGATGCAGGGCTTGAAGTAGAAAGGGCCCTGCTAGCAGCTTCCAACTCCTCGCTCTCTTCAAAGCTGGGCAGGATCTCCAATCGCTCACAGCTCGTGTCCCTGGATGTTGAGCCTTCACCTGCCTTGGAGCCCCCTTTACTGTTGAAAAGTTTGAGCTTTTCCAACATGGATTTCTGGTTGTTGGGGGCAGGCTTCATGGCTTCAGGTGTGGGCCTGGAAACCTCGGGCCCAGTGGGCTTGACTGAAAGCATGGATGCTGTGGCGCTATGCTTCACACTGAGGGACTTGCTGCGCCAGGGCTTGGAGGTCATGCTGGGCTGGGGGATGGCTGAGGAGCAGTTAACAGGAATGGCAGGACTGTTCTCCAAGGAAGCAGATACATTTTCGCTCATTCCGGGATGGGAGGAAGCTGAGCTTGCCAATGGCTCTGCAGAGATAGGGAAGGAAAAGGGACCTGAATCATATCATCTGAGCTGCAGTGAAGACGGAGGAAGGTCAGTCATGGCTACCTGGCCAGTCATTCCCCACCCATACGCCCCACAGCCCCATAACCGGAGGTGTGGATTTTCTGTGGTTAAATTTTAATGCAGTTCCTCCTCCTGTCCTCTATCATGCACTGTTCACACGGCACCTCCCCCAGCCCCACCACATCTTGGTTGTGCCTGTTCTGTAAACATATGCCAATCTTAACAGTAACATGCAGAGCACAACTAAGAATGTAAATAATCTGATGAAAATGAGAAATCCTTTACCACCTCCACCTAGCACTCCTGTGGTGTGTGAGGGTGTAGGAAATAAAGACTTTAAATTATTTAACACAGGATTCCATTTATGCATAATAGCCAAGAGGTATCCAACTTTTCATAGATATTAAAATAAAGCAGAAACTAACCATTTTAAATGAAAAGGAATTTACCCATAAAAGTTTCTAATTCCTATCAAAATTGTAAGCTTTTTCTTTGCTGACTCTTTCCTTTCTTTTTCTTTATTTTATTTTTTTTTTTGTGACAGGGTTTCTATGAGCAGTTCTGGCTGTCCAGGAGCTCACTCTGAAGACTGGGATAGCCTCAAACTCAGAGATCTGCCTGCTTCTGCCTTCCGAGTGCTGGGATTAATGGCATTTCACTTTGTCTTATCTTCTTTGGGAAAACAGGTGAGGAGACAAGTAGTTTCTTTCTCTGCATTCACTTGGGAATCCATAGTGGAGAGACATGAAGGAGAGTTCTCTCCTCTGAACACACATATCCCTGGGTGGGTTTGAACCACCAACCTTTTGGCACTGACCAATTGCAAGATGGAGACATTATGCTGGCACTTTCAAAGGCTTACAAATAGCACATACTTCTTTTACTTAAGAACACAAATCTGAGCATGTGCACCACCCCACCCAGCCCTAACACACACACACACACACACACACACACACACACACACACACACACACACACACACACACACACACAAACACACACTGCAAGAACACACAAACACACACACACACAAACACACACACAAACACACACTGCAAGAAAACACAAGTTATCTGAAAGTCAAGGCTTCCCCTTTGGCATTCAATGCATGTTTCCTTGCCCACAGTCTTTTCTCAGAAATCTATGAAGATATTTCCACACAAGCACCAGGACCATTCTGGGAAATGTGGGCTCCCCTACTACTGTTCTGTTACTCACCACAGTGCCCCCTCATCAGAGAGCCCCCACACTGCAGCCCCTTCTTCAGACGGAACTGCCATGATACATCAGTGGTTCCAAGTGCCAGTAGCTGCTAGAGAAAGTGGCCGGAAGACAGAGGAAACACCTCCACTGAGCATGGGGGCCCCCGAAGCCTAACCCCATCAGCCCCTTAAGAGAACACAGTTTGCAAAGCCACAGTGACAGGACTTACCTAGCAGCAGCCACTTTCTCCCACAAGGATTCTCTATGAGAAATTCTGCAAGCCGAGAGACTGCCCTTCCAATTGTCACAAGTGTTTTCGGTTAAACTGGTCATGTTTCTAATTAACTTTTGTCATCCGCAACTACTCCTGTGCCCAGAAGCCTGGCAGGATTAACGGCTGCTTCCTCAGCCACCCCCCACCCCTTCCTAATACCTATGTTCTGCTGCCTTCCAGCAACAGAGTAAACTGTACATAGAGCGGCTTTTGATGATTTAAAAGTCAACGGCTGCTAAGGCTGGGTCAAGGCAGCCCTGTGTGGGGCGCAAGCGCTGGGAGCTGGGCAGCCAGGGAACTGGCTGAGTCTGCCCGCAGCTGCGTGGGGAAGCCACAGCTCTGGGTGATCCAAAGCAGACCTCCCAATGTTTTAAAACACATCCATCTTCCTGACTTACTGGGGAATTTGGATTTGGAGGGGAGGGTGCTGCACAACTCCTCTACCAAAACTAACGGGTGTTGCTGGATGTTTTCCTGGGCAGGACCACAGACTGGCTTACAAACTAGTTGAGGAAACCTCCCCACACCATCAGTCTGTCATAGGGTATCCTTGGCTTGACACTACCCCCACCCTGGAGGGGGTGTTTCATGGGGATCTGGAGGCACACCACTCGACATATTCTTAAATAGTGTTCCTGATTCTTTTATAAGAGAGGAAACTGAGGCCAGGCAGAGTGATTTGTGACCATGCTCAGTCATCTAAAATGGAATACCTGGGATTTGAACCCAGGTCTTCTGATACAGTACTCTTGGGGACACCATGGTAATGACTTTTATTTATTTATTTGTGGTTATTGTTAAAGACACAATCTTCTGCATCCTAGGCCAGCCTTAAACTTGTTATGTATCTAACAATGACCTCCTGCCTCTCTGTTCCCAGTGTGTGCTACCTTTGGGTTATGTGGGGCTGGGAAATGAACCTAGGGCTTGGTGCATGCTGGGAAAACTTTCCACCATTTGAGCTCTTCCCTAGCCCACCACCTCCTTGTAAAGAACACATGCAAACAATAGTGCCCAATGCCCAGAATGTTTTCTAGACAGTCTTTCCTCCAGCCTTATTATATATGATGGCGATACCCACAGTGGGGCCAGCTACACCCCTCATCAGGAAGCAGCTGTACCCTGGAAGAGTCTCTCTGAATAAAGAAACTAAGTTTCCAAGCCAGGACCACTTTTCCTAGGAAAATTGCCTTTCCCTATACCTGGGGATCTTATCAGAAGCCAAGTGAAACATCCATCCATCCATCTACTCACCAGCATACCCACGCCCTTCCATCTGCCTACAAATCCATCCTCCACCCATTCACCCTCCCACCCTCAGCCACTCACTCACTCATCTTTATACACATCCTCCTTCCAGACACTTGACATGTTCATACCAGAATTCATGTATTCATCAAGAACTTCACAAGCACCAAATGCTGTCTAGGTTCGTGGAGCATGTCCACAACCAAAGATCTCTGCCTTACTGAACTTTACATTTTAGAAGAAGGAAACAGAAAACAACTCATTAATACATCATTTGCAGGAAAGTAAGTGCTAATGTAAATCATATCTGCAAAAAAGAGGGTGAGCTGCTGGGTGTGAGGTCTCAGTAAGTTCGAGGCCAGCGTTGTCTACGCAGTAAGTTCCAGGGTTACATAGTGAGACCCTGGTTTTTAATAAAAGGAAAGAGGATAAACTATTTCTACTATTTCTCTGGAGTCTTTTCAGCTGTGCTCACATTAAAATCCCAGGGAGCCTTTAAGAAGCTTCACGAGGTCAAGCCATGGCCATTTTTGTTTCACAGGGAACCACATACTCAGCCCTCCTGCCTCACACACTATGCCCTTTCACTGTTCTGTGTGGTAATGCATAGGGTGTTTCTTTATTTTAAATATTCTCCCTCAACAGTTTCTCTTATGGTGTTTACTAATGGAGAAAGCTTTCTGGGGCAAGGTATTGTCAACCTTGTTAATTCAGAAAGGCTGGTGTCCCAGGGAAATAGGCCTAGTGGAGGGAGGGCCGGGTGGTTCTGTAAAGGAGGGGAGCTCCTCTAATAACTAACAGCTCCTGATTTTTTCCTCATGTATATGAGCCTCCCCCTTCCTCACAGCAAAGGAATGTAAGGGGGGACAGGAGAAAAACATACAAGAATGTTCTGGGCGTCCTAACCCCTACTGTGCCACATGGCCACTGTAGGAAGTGAGTTGCTGGGCGTCCTATTCCCCTCCCCACCCCCCACCACTGTAGGAAGTGAACTGCTTTGCACAGCCCACAAATGAGCATTTTTGTCCTTTTAAAGGTATAGATCATTTCATGTTTATTAAATGTACATTTAAATTTCAAGTTGGCCTAAAAATATGACATAAAGAACTACAAACAACTCACAGATTTTGTGAAAATCACACAGGTTTGTGAGCAATACAGGTTGAAGAAACACTACTAAATCAAAGGCTACTTATTTTAGTATCAAATCTATTCCTTTGTTCCAAGTCAGACTTCAAAACTCATCTGAAATGGCTACTTTAGGCATTTGATTCACTTATGTAGTTGAAGGGCATGGAGTATATTGCTGAGAATGGCCAGGTCAACAAAAATGGGCAAAAAGAAGTTTAAAATAAGAACATCATGATTCAGTAATCGGCCTGTGAATATGTATCTGTATATAAAGATGAACAGCATCAAGACACTCTTGTAAAAAAAATTACTATGTGTGTTCTGACTGTGTCTGTGTGTGTGAGCGTGTGTCTCTGTCTCCCCCTCTCTACCTCTGTGTGTGTGTGTGTGTGGGTGTGTGTGTGTGGGGGTGATCTGCCTCTCTTTCCTGCTGTGTGTATGTCCTGGCGCGTGCATGCCACAGCATGCTTATGGTCAACTGTCTGGAGCTCGTTCCTTATACCACGTGGGTACTGGGGACCCATGTAATATCTGTGCAGCAAGCACCTTTGCCTTCTGAGACATCTTACCACCCTCCAAGACATACTCTTATTATGCACAATAAACTCTGACATAATCTACTCTAGTGTAATTTTTAAAATGCTAATTACAAGGACTGTGGAGTAGCTCAGTGTATAAAGGGCTTGCCTTCCAACCCTTAGAACTCGATTAAAATGTCCTTGGCATGGGGGTATTCACATATAATCTCAGGGCTAGGGAGGTAGAGACCACTGGATCCCTGGGGCTCTGGCTTGCTGTCCCGGTCCACTTGGCAAGCTCCAGGTCAGTGAGAGCCACTTTCTCAGAAAAGCACCAAGCAGACAGTGACACCTGAGAAACCACACCGGAGGTTGTTTCTTCTTCTCCACAAGTACTGGCACACATGTGTACATATGTGCACACTCAGTATGATGGCAGAGCCCCTGATGAGTCTTCCTGACACACCCGTGGCTCCCCAGTGCCAGTGTGGGCACCTTGGTTCTACAAGACCAATTTTCATGGTCCACTCACCACCAACTGACAAACCACCACATAAAGGGAAAGTCTCCTTCGAGACATCAT